TGGTTGAGTCAGGAGAATTTAATGGCAGTTGTTATTCTCTTGTGCATATCCATGAGAAAGAGAGAGAGCGATCATCAATATGCAAAAACAAGATTTGGGTGTTTTGGGTTTTTTGGTGTTAATGGCAGAATTTGAAAGAATGAATACAAACCATATCTATAGTTTGTATTCATTCCCCAGAGTCGAAACAGCCACTCCATGCCAGAGAATTTAGGAAAGAAGACACTAAATTATTTCGTACAAAGTTCAGATATTGTTTCTTTCAATATTTTTGATAAAAAGTCACTCATGCAAATCATTTAAGTAATTCTTTTTTTGTTTGTTATATAGTATATGTCACGTTTGCGCAGAACAAAAAGAGAATCAGTAAACAGAAAAAAAGTGTACAAAGGTATTCAATAATGTGTTTCATTTCTTCATAGTCTCTGTTGATAAATTAATTAGACGGCATTGTATGAACAAGTACCAAACTTGTTTATTAACAAATAAGCAGAAGGAACTTGCAGGAGTTATAATGTGTATTAAGCAATCATCGACCGATACGAATCTGTGAGGATTCCTTGGGTTTCATTTCTTGGAAAAAACTGCGAACAAGAAATTGTGGGACATCATAAAAGGGTTGTCCTTTGTAGATTAAAGTAGTAGATGAACTTGATTGAGAACATGATTGATTCTCCTATGACAATAAAAATGAACAAATGCACTCTATACACAAATCCAGTCTCTCTGGTATTTATTACCCATGGAGAATGAAATGGTACTAATGACTAATCAATACAGCTACGTACCAAGTACAAAATTATATCATATCGCAAATAGTATGTCTTTTTCTCATACGTGCACAGTGTTTTTGTGGTGTATTTGGAAATACTTTTGAAATAATGGTATTTTTGAAAATGCAATTTTTAACAAATGGTATTTTTGATGATAATCCCTTTTTGCAATTATCCCTATTTTCTTTGATTTTTCATCATTTAGCTAATTAAATTAGTTTTTAATTTTAAAAATACAGTTAAAAGAAAATTTTAACCATTAAAACTCTAATCGAAGGTTATGAAATCTTAAATCCTAAAACAATATTCTAGTATATCCAACTAAACTCTAAATCCAAAAATAATATGTTTAATTAATAAAAATTGGGGTAATTGCAAAAATGTCACTTTTGGTGGGTTTATTTTTAAAAATGATACTATAGGTTATCCATTTGCAAAAATATCACTAATTAAAGATTTTTAAACCCTAAATCTTAAAATTCTAAATCCTCAAAAAAATTTTGACCCTAAACAAGCCATAAACCTTCAAAACTAAATCATAATACAATATAGTTAACACAAATATAAATGATATATTGAGTAAATGATTTTGAAAAAATGACATTTTTATAAAAATTTTGAAAAAAAATTGCATTTTTAAAAAGCTGCATTTCTTAAAAATTCTCATAAAAATTTTAGCTTAACATCTATCTTTTAGGCCTATTTTTCTAATTTATTTATTTTAATTTCGAACCATTTTGTAAATTGTTCCTAGAAAAGGTATTTAAAGATAAATAAAAAAAAAAACGACATCATCGTTTGGTCTAAAGACTTTTGTAATTGTATGTGGTGGAATGAGGTCCAACGGTTAAAGAAGCAACCTATGATCTATTTATCAACCGCATATACACACATTATATGTATATGTCAAATCGATCTTTCTCTGACTCCGCCATGGCTATTCCTTTTCTAAACTCTTCTTCTCTTCAACTCACAGCTCCTCCGATTCTCTTCACCAAGGTAACTCCCATAATCCACAACCAAAGAACATGCACACCCACCAAACCCCGTCTCCGTCTCCTCCGCCGTTACGCCGCCGCCGGTACCGCTGTCGCAGCCGATCAAACGGA